GGTTTTACAGTAGAGATAACAGGAATTATATATTTGGCACCGATATTAGACTAAATATATTAGTGCTTTAGATATGAATATACATGGTTTTTTTTTCTGTTGGTGTTATCGTTATCAATTCATCATCTGTTATGCTCTGTATTTCATTATTAAAACGTTTATCATTATGATTGAAGTATTTCTGCTAACTTTATTATCGATGTTATATTCATTATAAGTTTACCTGATTTTTTATTTAATAATTAGTATCATCATTGTTGTTATAAGGATTTTTTTTTTTTAAATTTGTGAGAATCGTTAATCTTGTAGTTATTGTTAGTTACCATTCCTGCATTTATTACGGTATAACTTTTACTATTATCATAATGGTTACTGTTATGATTATGATTATCATCAGTGATGTTATTATTATCACTATTATTGTTGTTATCATTATTATTTTGTTATGATTAGGATTATCATCAGTGGTGTTATTATTATCACTATTATTGTTGTTAGCATCATTATTTTGTTTTTCTAATACTATTACTACTATTATGTCATAGAAAGTAATTAAAATCACATTCGTATATTTTATTCTGCAAAAACAATACACAACAAACAAACAACAATATATGCATACCACATGTATACATACACGAAGCAGAGCGTACCACCAGAGAGGATGTGAAAAATAATTGTAATGCTCTTATTTTTAAAGCTTTATTCCCCGTGAAACTTCGAGATATGATTCCCGAAACGTATATCTCATACTGAATTGAGAGAGGCCTATGTCCTGCAGTAGAATGAATGGCTGTTGGAAAAAAAAAATATATATATATTTGTATGCATACATATGTTTATATACATCTATAAATACATACATATATATATATATATAAGTATGAATATATATATATACATTCATATATTCATGCTTTTGTCCGGCAATTCTCAGGTTTTCTTTCATATTCTCCCTAACTAACGGGGCCGAAATCATAGCTGAGATATGTGTGCGACGGGAGGGGGGGGGGGCTACATCCGTTCGAAACACGACGGAAATTGCTGTTAGGAGCCATTTCTATACATACCATATATACATATATATGTGTGTGTGCCTTTGCCCCCCGCCTTGTTACCTCCCTGACTGCGACATCTACGGGTGACGCCTAGAAACCTTTGCCAGGCTGTCGGACTTCTGCTCCTGATAGTACACTGTGACCATTCTAAATCGAACGATAATCCTGGATAGTATTAATGATGTTTAAGGCAGAGGGAGCGAGGTGGCACAAATATTTGATACGTTATAAGATGGAACTACGCACCCTCTGCATCTTGCTAATTTGTTGATCTTCCCGTTTCAGAGTGTACTCCGTTAGACTTGGCTGCTCTAGAAGGGCACGAGGCGACGGCAGAGAAGCTCATCGACAAAGGCGCTGATGTGAACGCGAAGGACACAGAAGGTGAGGATCGTTTACATATGCCCGAGGTGGGCCCTTCTTGAAGACGTCAGGAATTCGCCGTCACGGAACCACATATTGTGGCGTTTTATACATAGTCATAACTCTATATATATATATACATATATATATATATTGTCTTATTAATATAGTTCACACTGAAAAACAACCGTGGCCCTTCTCAGGCATTCAGTGTGAACACGAAGGAAAACGACCGTGAATTTCTTCCAGATATGCCTCAGGTGGTTTCTTCTGAAACTATTAAACTAAATAGATTGGTGCTTTAAATATAAGCATAAATTATACTATTCATACTACTTTTATCTTTATTATAATAATTATTGTTATTGATTTTTTCCTATCTATGTATTGCATAATGATAATAATTGAAATAATAGGAAAAAGAAAAAGAAGAATTATAACAAAAATCCGTATAATTTTTATAATGATGAATGTAACCATAATAGAAATAACAGTGATAACATAAAAACTACTGCTACTAATTGTAATTTATTTTTTCTTTTTACTATTATAGGGATAATGATAGCAAAGATAATGTTACTAACGAGAAAGGTGATAATAATAATAATGATATTAATAATGGTAATAACTATAGGGATCCCTGGAAATTCCATGGGGGGGAGGGGGAGAATAAGTGATACTTTCTCCCTCTCCCTCTCCTACCTTTTGCTCTTCTCTGCTTTTTCTTTTCCCTCTCCATCTCCCTCAACTTTCCCTTTCCCGCTGTCACTACATTTCTTTCTCCTTACCCATCTCCTTTTCCTCTTCAATTCTCCTCCTTTTCCTCTCTCTTTCCTCTTCTCTATCTCCATTTCTCCTCGCTTTCCTCGTCTCTGTCTCCATTTCCCCTCTCTTTTCTCTTCTCTATTTCCATTTCCTTTTTAAACCCCTTCCCCTTCCCTTTCCCCCTTCTTTCTTAACCTCCTTCCCCTCTGGATAGTCGTGTATATATGTGCATAAACTGATGCTCTAACTACTTCCGTGCAATGTACTTGCCTCGAAGAAGAATGATAATAATAATAATAGGAAAAATAGCAATGATAATGACATGATGATAACAGTAATAAAACTATTTAATATTTACTAGTAGCAATCAATGATCATGATTGATATCATGGTTATTATAACCATGATATTGATGTTAATGGTAATTTTAGTAATAAAAATGATAATTACACGATGGTCATTACAATAATTGTATTAGTAGTAATAATCAATATAATGATATTGATGATAGTTCTAACAGCATTGATGATAATAACATTACTACTACTACTAATAATAATAACTATAAGTATTACAACGATCATAGTGATAATCACTAAACATGACCACATTTATACATACATGTGTTTATGGGTCGGTAAGCCCTCTGGAAAAGGAATTGATGGGACGAAGCCCTCTATATACTGCGTTTGTGCATTCCATAGCAGAGTTACTGACTTAACTCGATCTTTCGCTTTTGTCCGGCAATTCCCAGGTTTTCTTTCATATTCTCCCTAACTAATGGGGCCGAAATCATAGCTGAGCTATGTGTCCGACGGGAATGAGTGATACATTCGTTCGAAACACGACGGAAATTGCTGTTAGGAGCCATTTCTATACATACCATATATACATATATATGTGTGTGTGCCTTTGCCCCCCGCCTTGTTACCTCCCTGACTGCGACATCTACGGGTGACGCCTAGAAACCTTTGCCAGGCTGTCGGACTTCTGCTCCTGATAGTACACTGTGACCATTCTAAATCGAACGATAATCCTGGATAGTATTAATGATGTTTAAGGCAGAGGGAGCGAGGTGGCACAAATATTTGATACGTTATAAGATGGAACTACGCACCCTCTGCATCTTGCTAATTTGTTGATCTTCCCGTTTCAGAGTGTACTCCGTTAGACTTGGCTGCTCTAGAAGGGCACGAGGCGACGGCAGAGAAGCTCATCGACAAAGGCGCTGATGTGAACGCGAAGACCACAAAAGGTAAGGATCGTTTACATATGCCCGAGGTGGGCCCTTCTTGAAGACGTCAGGAATTCGCCGTCACTGAACCACATATTGTGGCGTTTTATAAATAGTCATAACTCTATATATATATTGTTTTGTCTTACTAATATAGTTCACACTGAAAAACAACCGTGGCCCTTCTCAGGCATTCATTGTGAACACGAAGGAAAACGACCGTGAATTTCTTCCAGATATGCCTCAGGTGGTTTCTTCTGAAACTATTAAACTAAATAGATTGGTGCTTTAAATATAAGCATAAATTACACTATTCATACTACTTTTATTTTCATTGTAATAGTTATTGTTATTGATTTTTCCCTATCTATGTATTGCATAATGATAATTAAAATAATAGGAAAAAAAGAAAAGAACAATTATAATAACAAAAATCCGTATAATATTCATAATGATGAATGTAACCATAACAAAAATAACAGCGATAGCATAAAGAGTACTACTACTATTTTTTTTTATTTATTTTTTACTATTATAGGGATAATGATAGCAAAGATAATGATACTAACGAGAAACATAATGATAATAATAATAATGATGGTAATAATGGTAATAACTATAGGGATTCCGGGAAATACCAAGGGGAAGGGGGGGGGGGATAAATGATACTTCTTTCTCCCTCTCACTCTCCTACCTTTTGGTCTTCTCTCCCTTTTCTTTTCCCTCTCTATCTCCCTCAACTTTCCCTTTCCCGCTGTGTCACCCCATTCCACTCTGTAATCTTTCTTTTATTTACTCCTCCCCTCTCACTTTCCTCCCTAAACTTCCCCGCTTTCTCTACTCTTGTCCTCTTCCCTCACTCTCCCATCCCCCCTTTTTCTCTTAGCCTTTTCTCTTTCACCATCCCTTTCCCCTTACTCATATCCTTTTCCTCTTCAATTCTCCTTTTCCTCTCTCTTTCCTCTTCTCTATCTCCATTTCTCCTCTCTTTCCTCGTCTCTGTCTCAATCTCCCCTCTCTTTCCTCGTCTCTGTGTCCATTTTCCCTCTCTTTTCTCTTCTCTGTTTCCATTTCCTTTTTAATCCCCTTCCCTTCTCCCTTTCCCCCTTCTTTCTTAACCTCCTTCCCCTCTGGATAGTCGTGTATATATGTGCATAAACTGATGCTCTAACTACTTCCATGCAATGTACTTGCCTCGAAGAAGAATGATAATAATAATAATAGGAAAAATAGCAATGATAATGACATGATGATAAGAGTAATAAAACTATTTAATATTTACTAGTAGCAAACATCAATAATCATGATTGATATCATGGTTATTATAACCATGATATTGATGTTAATGGTAATTTTAGTAATAAAAATGATAATTACACGATGGTCATTACAATAATTGTATTAGTAGTAATAATTAATATAATGATATTGATGATAGTTCTAGCAGCAGTGAAGATAATAACATTACTACTACTACTACTAATAACTATAAGTATTACAACGATCATAGTGATAATCACTAAACATGGCCACATTTATACATACATATGTGTTTGTGCCTTTGTGTATTTCTTATGTATATATTTATATACACTGTTGAAGGTCAGTAATCACAACTATTAGACACATGCTATAAAGATAAAAGCCAAAAAGAGGTACAAGTATTTCCGGAACTGCACACTACATTTCGTTTATTCGTTCCAGGGAACACCCCGTTACACCTGGCAATTCACAACGGGCACACAGCGATGGTAGAGGCGCTCATTGCTAAAGGCGCTGACTTGAACGCTAAGAACAACGCTGGTAAGGCAATTTGTGATAAAATTGAGGGGGTTTTACAGTAGAGATAACAGGAATTATATATTTGGCACCGATATTAGACTAAATATATTAGTGCTTTAGATATGAATATACATGTTTTTTTTTTTTCTGTTGGTGTTATCGTTATCAGTTCATCATCTGTTATGCTCTGTATTTCATTATTAAAACGTTTATCATTATGATTGAAGTATTTCTGCTAACTTTATTATCGATGTTATATTCATTATAAGTTTACCTGATTTTTTATTTAATAATTAGTATCACCATTGTTGTTATAAGGATTTTTTTTTTTTAATTTGTGAGAATCGTTAATCTTGTAGTTATTGTTAGTTACCATTCCTGCATTTATTACAGTATAACTTTTACTATTATCATAATGGTTACTGTTATGATTATGATTATCATCAGTGATGTTATTATTATCACTATTATTGTTGTTATCATTATTTTGTTATGATTATGATTATCATCAGTGGTGTTATTATTATCACTATTATTGTTGTTAGCATCATGATTTTGCTTTTCTAATACTATTACTACTATTATGTCATAGAAAGTAATTAAAATCACATATTCGTATATTTTATTCTGCAAAAACAATACACAACAAACAAACAACAATATATGCATACCACATGTATACATACACGAAGCAGAGCGTACCACCAGAGAGGATGTGAAAAATAATTGTAATGCTCTTATTTTTAAAGCTTTATTCCCCGTGAAACTTCGAGATATGATTCCCGAAACGTATATCTCATACTGAATTGAGAGAGGCCTATGTCCTGCAGTAGAATGAATGGCTGTTGGAAAAATATATATATATATATTTGTATGCATACATATGTTTATATACATCTATAAATACATACATACATATATATATATAAGTATGAATATATATATATATACATTCATATATTCATGCTTTTGTCCGGCAATTCTCAGGTTTTCTTTCATATTCTCCCTAACTAACGGGGCCGAAATCATAGCTGAGATATGTGTGCGACGGGAGGGGGGGGGGGCTACATCCGTTCGAAACACGACGGAAATTGCTGTTAGGAGCCATTTCTATACATACCATATATACATATATATGTGTGTGTGCCTTTTTGCCCCCCGCCTTGTTACCTCCCTGACTGCGACATCTACGGGTGACGCCTAGAAACCTTTGCCAGGCTGTCGGACTTCTGCTCCTGATAGTACACTGTGACCATTCTAAATCGAACGATAATCCTGGATAGTATTAATGATGTTTAAGGCAGAGGGAGCGAGGTGGCACAAATATTTGATACGTTATAAGATGGAACTACGCACCCTCTGCATCTTGCTAATTTGTTGATCTTCCCGTTTCAGAGTGTACTCCGTTAGACTTGGCTGCTCTAGAAGGGCACGAGGCGACGGCAGAGAAGCTCATCGACAAAGGCGCTGATGTGAACGCGAAGAACACAGAGGGTAAGGATCGTTTGCATATGCCCGAGGTGGGCCCTTCTTGAAGACGTCAGGAATTCGCCGTCACGGAACCACATATTGTGGCGTTTTATACATAGTCATAACTCTATATATATATACATATATATATATATATTGTCTTATTAATATAGTTCACACTGAAAAACAACCGTGGCCCTTCTCAGGCATTCAGTGTGAACACGAAGGAAAACCAACGTGAATTTCTTCCAGATATGCCTCAGGTGGTTTCTTCTGAAAGTATTAAACTAAATAGATTGGTGCTTTAAATATAAGCATAAATTATACTATTCATACTACTTTTATCTTTATTGTAATAATTATTGTTATTGATTTTTTCCTATCTATGTATTGCATAATGATATTAATTGAAATAATAATAGGAAAAAGAAAAAGAACAATTATTATAATAAAAATCCGTATAATTTTTATAATGATGAATGTAACCATAATAGAAATAACAGTGATAACATAAAAACTACTGCTACTAATTGTTATTTATTTTTTCTTTTTACTATTATAGGGATAATGATAGCAAAGATAATGTTACTAACGAGAAGGGTGATAATAATATTATTAATAATGGTAATAACTATAGGGATCCCTGGAAATTCCATGGGGGGGAGGGGGGGAATAAGTGATACTTTCTCCCTCCACCTCTCCTACCTTTTGCTCTTCTCTGCTTTTTCTTTTCCCTCTCCATCTGCCTCAACATTCCCTTTCCCGCTGTCACTCCATTTCTTTCTCCTTACCCATCTCCTTTTCATCTTCAATTCTCCTCCTTTTCCTCTCTCTTTCCTCTTCTCTATCTCCATTTCTCCTCGCTTTCCTCGTCTCTGTGTCCATTTCCCCTCTCTTTTCTCTTCTCTATTTCCATTTCCTTTTTGAACCACTTCCCCTTCCCTTTCCCCCTTCTTTCTTAACCTCCTTCCCCTCTGGATAGTCGTGTATATATGTGCATAAACTGATGCTCTAACTACTTCCATGCAATGTACTTGCCTCGAAGAAGAATGATAATAATAATAATAATAGGAAAAATAGCAATGATAATGACGTGATGATAACAGTAATAAAACTATTTAACATTTACTAGTAGCAAAAATCAATGATCATGATTGATATCATGGTTATTATAACCATGATATTGATGTTAATGGTAATTTTAGTAATAAAAATGATAATTACACGATGGTCATTACAATAATTGTATTAGTAGTAATAATTAACATAATGATATGGATGATAGTTCTAACAGCAGTGATGATAATAACATTATTACTACTACTACTACTAATAACTATAAGTATTACAACGATCATATTGATAATCACTAAAAATGACCACATTTATACATGTGTTTATGGGTCGGTAAGCCCTCTGGAAAGGGAATTGATGGGACGAAGCCCTCTATATACTGCGTTTGTGCATTCCATAGCAGAGTTACTGACTTTACTCGATCCTTCGCTTTTGTCCGGCAATTCCCAGGTTTTCTTTCATATTCTCCCTAACTAATGGGGCCGAAATCATAGCTGAGCTATGTGTCCGACGGGAATGAGTGCTACATTCGTTCGAAACACGACGGAAATTGCTGTTAGGAGCCATTTCTATACATATCATATATACATATAAATATATGTGTGTGCCATTGCCCCCGCCTTGTTACCTCCCTTACTGCGACATCTACGGGTGACGCCTAGAAACCTTTGCCAGGCTGCCGGACTTCTGTTCCTGATAGTACACTGCTGATCACTCAAAACCGATATCGAATAAACCTGGATAACATTAATGATGTGTAAGGTAGAGGAAGCGAAGTGGCACAAATATTTGAAACATTATGAGATGGAACTACACACCCTCTCCATCTCGCTAATTTGTTTATCTTTTTTATCTTTCAGGGTTTACTCCGTTACACTTGGCGGCTCAGGAAGGGCACGAAACGACGGCAGAGAAGCTCATCGACAAAGGCGCTGATGTGAACGCGAAGAACACAGAAGGTAAGGATCGTTTACATATGCCCGAGGTGGGCCCTTCTTGAAGACGTCAGGAATTCGCCGTCACTGAACCACATATTGTGGCGTTTTATACATAGTTATAACTATATATATATATATTGTTTTGTCTTATTAATATAGTTCACACTGAAAAACAACCGTGGCCCTTCTCAGGCATTCATTGTGAACACGAAGGAAAACGACCGTGAATTTCTTCCAGATATGCCTCAGGTGGTTTCTTCTGAAACTATTAAACTAAATAGATTGGTGCTTTAAATATAAGCATAAATTATACTATTCATACTACTTTTATCTTTATTATAATAATTATTGTTATTGATTTTTTCCTATCTATGTATTGCATAATGATAATAATTGAAATAATAGGAAAAAAAAAGAACAATTATGATAACAAAAATCCGTATAATTTTTATAATGATGAATGTAACCATAATAGAAATAACAGTGATAACATAAAAACTACTGCTACTAATTGTAATTTATTTTTTCTTTTTACTATTATAGGGATAATGATAGCAAAGATAATGTTACTAACGAGAAAGGTGATAATAATATTATTAATAATGGTAATAACTATAGGGATCCCTGGAAATTCCATGGGGGGGAGGGGGAGAATAAGTGATACTTTCTCCCTCTCCCTCTCCTACCTTTTGCTCTTCTCTGCTTTTTCTTTTCCCTCTCCATCTCCCTCAACTTTCCCTTTCCCGCTGTCACTCCATTTCTTTCTCCTTACCCATCTCCTTTTCCTCTTCAATTCTCCTCCTTTTCCTCTCTCTTTCCTCTTCTCTATCTCCATTTCTCCTCGCTTTCCTCGTCTCTGTCTCCATTTCCCCTCTCTTTTCTCTTCTCTATTTCCATTTCCTTTTTAAACCACTTCCCCTTCCCTTTCCCCCTTCTTTCTTAACCTCCTTCCCCTCTGGATAGTCGTGTATATATGTGCATAAACTGATGCTCTAACTACTTCCGTGCAATGTACTTGTCTCGAAGAAGAATGATAATAATAATAATAGGAAAAATAGCAATGATAATGACATGATGATAACAGTAATAAAACTATTTAATATTTACTAGTAGCAAACATCAATGATCATGATTGATATCATGGTTATTATAACCATGATATTGATGTTAATGGTAATTTTAGTAATAAAAATGATAATTACACGATGGTCATTACAATAATTGTATTAGTAGCAATAATCAATATAATGATATTGATGATAGTTCTAACAGCATTGATGATAATAACATTACTACTACTACTAATAATAATAACTATAAGTATTACAACGATCATAGTGATAATCACTAAACATGACCACATTTATACATACATATGTGTTTATGGGTCGGTAAGCCCTCTGGAGAGGGAATTGATGGGACGAAGCTCTCTATATACTGCGTTTGTGCATCCCATAGCAGAGTTACTGACTTAACTCGATCTTTCGCTTTTGTCCGGCAATTCCCAGGTTTTCTTTCATATTCTCCCTAACTAATGGGGCCGAAATCATAGCTGAGCTATGTGTCCGACGGGAATGAGTGCTACATTCGTTCGAAACACGACGGAAATTGCTGTTAGGAGCCATTTCTATACATACCATATATACATATATATATATATATGTGTGTGTGTGTGCCATTGCCCCCGCCTTGTTACCTCCCTTACTGCGACATCTACGGGTGACGCCTAGATACCTTTGCCAGGCTATCGGACTTCTGTTCCTGATAGTACACTGCTGATCACTCAAAACCGATATCGAACAATAAACCTGGATAATATTAATGATGTGTAAGGTAGAGGAAGCGAAGTGGCACATATATCTGATACATTATGAGATGGAACTACGCACCCTCTGCATCTTGCTAATTTGTCTATCTTCCCGTTTCAGAGTATACTCCGTTACACTTGGCGGCTCAGGAAGGGCACGAGGCGACGGCAGAGAAGCTCATCGACAAAGGCGCTGATGTGAACGCGAAGATCACAGAAGGTAAAGATCGTTTACATATGCCCGAGGTGGTCCCTTCTTGAAGACGTCAGGAATTCGCCGTCACTGAACCACATATCGTGGCGTTTTATACATAGTCATAACTCTCTCTATATATATTTTTGTCTTATTAATATAGTTCACACTGAAAAACAACTGTGGCCCTTCTCAGGCATTCATTGTGAACACGAAGGAAAACGACCGTGAATTTCTTCCAGATATGCCTCAGGTGGTTTCTTCTGAAACTATTAAACTGAATAGATTGGTGCTTTAAATATAAGTATAAATTACACTATTCATACTACTTTTATTTTCATTGTAATAGTTATTGTTATTGCATAATGATAATTAAAATAATAATAGGAAAAAAGGAAATGAACAATTATAATAACAAAAATCCGTATAATATTCATAATGATGAATGTAACCATAACAAAAATAACAGCGATAGCATAAAGAGTACTACTACTATTTTTTTTTTTTTTTTTACTATTATAGGGATAATGATAGCAAAGATAATGATACTAACGAGAAACATAATGATAATAATAATAATGATATTAATAATGGTAATAACTATAGGGATTCCGGGAAATACCAAGGGGAAGGGGGGGGGGGATAAATGATACTTCTTTCTCCCTCTCACTCTCCTACCTTTTGCTCTTCTCTCCCTTCTCTTTTCCCTCTCTATCTCCCTCAACTTTTCCTTTCCCGCTGTGTCACCCCATTCCACTCTGTAATCTTTCTTTTATTTACTCCTCCCCTCTCACTTTCCTCCCTAAACTTCCCCGCTTTCTCTACTCTTGTCCTCTTCCCTCACTCTCCCATCCCCCCTTTTTCTCTAAGCCTTTTCTCTTTCACCATCCCTTTCCCCTTACTCATATCCTTTTCCTCTTCAATTCTCCTTTTCCTCTCTCTTTCCTCTTCTCTATCTCCATTTCTCCTCTCTTTCCTCGTCTCTGTCTCAATCTCCCCTCTCTTTCCTCGTCTCTGTGTCCATTTCCCCTCTCTTTTCTCATCTCTGTTTCCATTTCCTTTTTAATCCCCTTCCCTTCTCCCTTTCCCCCTTCTTTCTTAACCTCCTTCCCCTCTGGATAGTCGTGTATATATGTGCATAAACTGATGCTCTAACTACTTCCGTGCAATGTACTTGTCTCGAAGAAGAATGATAATAATAATAATAGGAAAAATAGCAATGATAATGACATGATGATAACAGTAATAAAACTATTTAATATTTACTAGTAGCAAACATCAATGATCATGATTGATATTATGGTTATTATAGCCATGATATTGATGTTAATGGCAATTTTAGTAATAAAAATGATAATTACACGATGGTCATTACAATAATTGTATTAGTAGTAATAATTAATATAATGATATTGATGATAGTTTTAGCAGCAGTGATGATAATAACACTACTACTACTACTAATAATAGCTATAAGTATTGCAACGATCATAGTGATAATCACTAAACATGGCCACATTTATACATACATATGTGTTTGTGCCTTTGTGTATTTCTTATGGATATATTTATATACACTGTTGAAGGTCAGTAATCTTGTAGTTATTGTTAGTTACCATTCCTGCATTTATTACAGTATAACTTTTACTATTATCATAATGGTTACTGTTATGATTATGATTATCATCAGTGATGTTATTATTATCACTATTATTGTTGTTAGCATCATTATTTTGTTTTTTCTAATACTATTACTACTATTATGTCATAGAATGTAATTAAAATCACATACTCGTATATTTTATTCTGCAAAAACAACACAGAACAAACAAACAACAATATATGCATACCACATGTATACATGCACGAAGCAGAGCGTACCACTAGATATAAACCAACAAAATTGATTATTCTACAGAGGGGACATGCCACCATAATTAATCTCTTAATACTGCTATTCATCAAAACAAAAACAAATCTAAAACTATTATTTTCCCCCCAAAATTTCTCTTCCCAGCAGCGTCGACTCTTACGAGGTACTTACATATTTAAAAAGACCTTCCTGCGATTCCTCTTCCTATACCTTCCACGGTAGAAAATCTGCCGCTCGACCTAAGGCAAAGGGAAGGGGGAGGGGGTGCTAGAATTTGATACATTTAACCCATTGGTGCCGGGTATGACGTGTACGTACGTGCTATGCCCACCGTGAGTACTTGTTTGATTGTTTTTACGCATAGATGGCAACACTTGTACCAACTACGAGCACCGCCCGTCTCGCCCGTTTACCCGATTCTTTGATTTACGAAATATTTAACGTTATCTTATTTTGCTGTTACTAATGATAAAAAACATAAAAATTATAATGTTTATGATAAAAATAACACCATCGATTTTCATAGCACTAGTGAAAAATACGTTTTATCCGCCATTTCAAATCAGGCGCTAGCAGAGCCATCTATCGGCAGACATTTCACGAAAAACATAGAAAGTGGGCACAGCATTTTCCCCATTTTTTGTTCATTTTTCCCCGGCGGCATTGGGTTAAGAAGTGGAATTAGTCTGCATCTTGTTTAATCTATTCAGGGCATACTCCACTACACTTAGCTGCTGAAGAAGGCCATGAAGTGGTGGTAGAGGCGCTCATTGCCAAAGGAGCTAATGCCAACACGAAAGACGACATGGGTAAGGTTATCTCAGATGTGGCTCAGGTGGTTCTCTGGTAATGTAATATATATATATATATATATTTGTGACTGCCGCGATAGCTCAGTCGTTAGAGCACTGGACTCCAACCCTCGTGGTCCCGGGTTCAATTCCCCGTCGCGGCAGTCGTAAAAATGCCTGCGCTCTGACTCCAGCCCGAGAAAACGACATATCGCCTTGAGAAGTCAAACGCAGGTGCCGTAGGGAAAGTCACCGCCGTGGCACAAGTGTTAGCGCGCCGAATCGCGGTTGATTAGGAAGGGCATCCAATCAGGCCATGGTGACACCGCCATATAACCTCTCAATACTGAATTGAGAGAGGCCTATGTCCTGCAGTGGAATGAATGGCTGTTGAAAAAAAAAAAATAATATACATATATATATATATATGTATATATATATTTGTATGTATACATATGTTTATATACATCTACAAATATATATATATATATATTTATATATATATATATAAGTATGAATATATATGTGTGTGTGTGTGTGTGTGTGTATGTCTGTATGTCTGTATGTATCCACATTAGCATCCTTTCTCTCGGAATAGAGACAGAAACGGAAGACCAAGCATTTTCCTTCGTTAGGGTGGACGCCGCTGCACTGGTCTGCCCAGAACGGTCGGGGCGCGGCGGCCGAGGCCCTCCTAGGGAAAGGAGCCGAGAGGAACGCCGCAACGCTTGGCGGTAAGACGGTTCCTGACACTATGAAGGCTGTCTTATCGTTAAGGCGTTTGTTACCGTATTGTCCGTTTGTTCTTAATTTATCCTGTTTCCCCCCCCCCCCCCCCCCCCACCTTTCACCCTTCCCTGTTTACTTGAACTGTGAGTTACCGATATCGAACGAGGGGAAAGAGAAGGAAGGATAAACAAAGAGGTGTGTGTGTGTGCGTGCGTGTGTGTACACACACACACACATATATATATGCATATATATATATAGATAGATAGATAGATAGATACATGTGTGTGTGTATGCGTGTGTGTATGCGCGTACGTGTGTAAATGTGTGTATATATATACATATGTATACACATAAATACAATTACACACATGTATGTTGTACATACACCACACACACGTATATTTATGTATGTGTGTGTACAAGTTTATCAATTTCCTTTTTTATTCTGCGAACAGCTTATCTGCACATAGAAAAAGTAGCTGAAGATTAGACTTACATGTCACTCTTACAGCTCTGATAACGTTTCTATCTTCCCTGCCAGGTCAGACAGCGATGCACATAGCAGCTTCGGAGGGCCATCTCCACGTCCTGTACACGCTGGTGAAGCTTGGCGTCGCTACCAACGCGAGGAACGGCCGAGGAAAGACGCCCAAGGAAATGCTGAAAGGAACTTCCACGACTGCAGATTACGACATGGAAGTCTTCAAAGGCATCTCACTGGTACTGGTGCTGGAAGCTGTTTGTAGGAACTTTTTTTTAATCTTCTTTCTTTTCATTTATGGCGATTTTTTTTCTTTCTTTTTTTTTGGTAGGGTGTTAGACAACGCAATTAATATTAATAGTGTTAATCTGATAATGGAGCAGGAATCTGTCAATACGAACTTTTTTCATGATGCTAGCTTCTTTTTCTTCTATGATGAATGTCTTTTTTTGCGGGAGAGAGGGGTAGAAGGCATAATTAATATTGAATCACTCCTTTGTTAACCTAAGAAATCTGTTCATGATACTAGATACTCTTGTATGGCTAATGATTTACTTTTTTTCTACGTTTTTCCCTTTTTTAAGGGGATTAGACAGCATAATTAGCAATGAATCAGTCCTATGTTAACCAGTTGGATTTCATTACAGATAGAGATAATGGAGAAGTACCTCGCAGCTGAAAAGGGGAAGGTCGGCCTACAGAGAGACAAGAGGGCGCTTCAGGTTAGAGACGGACTGGCCTCCTGCCCTGGATCTGGCATTTCAGGGAGATGGAGATGCAGTCCCACGCGCGTTGCTGAGGGGAATAATCGAGAGAGAAAGAGAGAGGGAGAGAGAGACAGAGAGAGAGAGAGAGGGAGAGAGAGAGAGACAGAGAGAGAGAGAGGGAGAGAGAGAGAGTTTGCGCATGCGTGCATGTATACTCAAATATACATACACACAAACATATACTGTGTGTGTGACTATGTGTGTGTGTCTATATGTGTGTGTAAGAGAGAGAGAGAGAGATAGAGAGAGACAGAGACAGAGAGAGAGAGAGAGAGGGGGGGGGGGGGGGGGAGAGAGAGAGAGGGAGAGACAGAGAGAGAGAGAGAGAGAGAGAGGGTGGGGGGAGAGAGGCGGTGGAAAGATGGATGGAAACAGAAATAGGCAGCGTTTCACACGGACATGCCTTTCCATGCACCCGCGCGCGTTCATGCCATTCCCTCTTCGCAGAATGAACATAAAGAGGAGCTGAAGAGGATGAAGGAAGATCAGAGAAGAAGAGACGCTGACTCTCGGGGAATGAAGAAGGAAATCGCTGCTTTGAAAGAGAAGATCAAGGCGATGGAGGTGAGGCAGAGAGGAGAGGGAGAGGGAGGGGGAGAAGGAAGGAGAGAGATAATTATATATATACATATATATATATACATATATATATACACACACACACACACACATATATATATATAGAGAGAGAGAAAGATAAATAGACAGATAGATAGATAGATAGAGAGAGAGAGATAAATAGACAGATAGATAGAGAGAGAGAGAGACGGAGAGTTTTTTTTTCTTTTTTTTTTTACTCACTTGTCATTGTTATCCATGATCCCTTGAGTTTACCTACAGCCTTTGGTATCGATTAATACTGAAGGAAAAGACCCTTCTCCTTACTTCCTACTTTTCCACAAACCTTCGAGGCTTTGCACGTGGATATACTGCAGTATTCTTGAGACGGGAAAGCGCTTTCGGTTTTCTGAAGACTAACTGTTAGGCTGTAGACTTTTCCCTGAAGAAGTGCGTTTCGTGTCAACCCCGAGGCCCGACCAGCAAGAAACGGAAAAACCTCGGGGTTATTTGTGTACAAGAGGCATAGGTAGGATATAGTACATATATATGTATATATAGTTTTATACATAAGTATAATTTTATCAGTATTGTCTTGGTGCTACATTTTTCTTTTTTTCCTTTTATTCTATTACTAATTTTATGATTTTATATACTATTGTATTGCTGATTCACAAATAAATGGTCACGCTTCTATGTTTATGGTTATGGAATAAGCAAAGGGTTATCTTATCTTTAAGTTTGACTGTTTTGCATTTGCCTTTTAAACATACACTTTTAAGGCCAATCTATGTTTACGCATTCTATGTGTGGGAGAGTGTGACATTATATCAGGTCGAGATGGCTCTCTCGTATTGCTCGTCCTCAAGGGCTGTCTGGATACGTACCACAAGAGTGGTGCTGTGTCTTTGGCAAATCGACCATCAGTAAGCCGTCAGTCAAGAGCTCAGATCCAGAGTGCCCCAACATCTGCCACAGCACATGTTCGACTGCTCTGACACCCAAAATCTGCGGTCTGCCCACGGTGTCGGAGCGGTAGTCCTCCACATTGAGGACCAACCAATCTCTGGAGAAGACAGCGGAGCAAATACCAGCGAGGAGGAAGAACTTTTCCAGTTTGAACCTCGAGAGCACGTAAAAACAATCTTGCAACTCAGCAGATTAAAAAAAAAAAAAAAAAAAAAAAAAAAAAAAAACTTGCTAAAGTTCCTTAATAACCCATTGCTGGACTGGACACTGGTGTTTCCATTGTCAACTTTTACGACAACCTCATTGCTGCAACTACTATCTGTGCAGTTAAACTGAAAACTATAGCCTGCACAGCCAACCCAACAAAATTGACCAGGCTACTGGTTATCAGGCAGCCTAATCACAAATACCTCAAAATCAGTCACACCCACAGTAAACTTCATCTCAACATCTGCAACAGCCACATCAGCTGCCATTGTCTCAGCTTGACAATCGAAACAGCCAGCCGTCTAGATCAACTCCACCTTAACAGGAACCGACAAATCAGGCCCGGCTGAATCAAGCACAGGTTCACACACAACATAAATATAAGCCCTATAGCCCCCAGACGATCACTCATAATCGACAGTAGAGATCTAACAGGCAGACTCTTGTAAAATCAAGGGTCACTCCGAAAACAACTGCCACAGGATCAAAGAATGTGAATATTGCCATCGTAGAGGACATCTTACATCTGAGTGCCGAAGAAAAAGATGAAGAGGAAAGATCAAGAACGCGTCTTCCAATGCACTACTGTAGAGCAGCATCAATGTAATGCTATTTTGGTACACGCAATACACAAGCACTTGACATACACTCCACACAATTCACATCTTTCCTTACAAGCCAACGGATTGCCAACACCAGCCATTCAGCTACCCAACTAACAAACTACTAGCTCTCTGTAAGGTCCCTGGGGCCGGATACTCAAAACTACCCGTCAGTTACAAGGCCGAGGACGTTGTAACCGCTTTACAACATCGTACCTTCCGATCTCCTTACTACATTGTAACCCAACCATACTCAAAAAATAATTACGATGTAGTAAGCACATTGTAAGGCCCGTGTTTACATTGTAAGTTAATTCCATTGAGTACCAAGAGAGGGCAGACCAGTCGTCGATTGACCAATCAGCAGTCAGCCTGCTAGACGTAACAACCAATGGAAAGCCATGGTTGTCTTATTGCCACGCCCCCAACGGTCACCAGCTCCATGGAAGGCCCAGCGACTGTCTCCCCGAGTAATATTTTTGAAAGACTTATTTCCTCTACTTTTAACAATATGTTTACGAGGTCTCACATGTGACTTACATACATTTTTTCGGAAGTATAAAGCAAAAAATCATAATTTCATGCGAAAGTAAATTGACTTTAACGTACTTACGGAAGAGTCACTTATTATCGGAATAATAATTCTTAAAAGGATTGTTTAGTTGGATATTTGGCATCAAAGAAGGTTATAGTAAAACAAATCTAGGAAATCTGTGATATCGCAATAATTGCTTATCCTCTCCATAGCGTGAAACTAATGATTCCCTCTAATAATGACTTTCGCGCTGCAGTGCTCGGTCATGAGGATGGGCAGCCACCAAAACATTGTTGTGTGTCGTCTGTCGTCTGTCAACTCAATTTACAGTCAATTTATATTTGATTCAAAATAACGATAATGCATAGAAAACAGAGAGTATGCTAGACAATTGAAATTCCCCGGTATTAAACATGGAAAAGGCATGTTACTGTCAAATAAAGGTTTTTGTCGACTAAGTAATCGGGAAATAAACCGTAATATATCCGGTTTGAAACCCTTACAAGAGCTCCCGAGCAGTTGTAACTTACAAGGTACTTTCCAATGAGTGACATCATAACATGGCGGCTACTTTTGTTTCGAGTATGGCCCTCGGAGGAGTTACAACATTGTAACTGCTCCGATGCGAGATACAACATTGTAAACTGTTTTGAGTATCCCGCCCCTGGTACAGAATGCACGGGACTTTTGGAGGCATCGGTGTCTGCTTTCGAAGAGCATAGCAGATCATCTCGAACGCTTGGTGCTCTCATTGCCTGTGTCTGCTACAGACCCCAGTTGCAAGGCTCTGAAAACTTGTTTATCATCAAGCCAACCTGGATAATATTCTCCATGCATACTCTTGCAAAAATATCATAATACTAGGGGATCTGAACCATCACTTGGTTGAAAGATCATTTGAAAAGCTCCTCAATGCATTCAGGCTTACAAATCATGTCCATTTCCCGACCCTCATATCAGGCTCATTCCTTGACCCTGTGATTACTGATCTGGCTGAATCAGATGTCATTTGTTCTTCCCTGGGCACAGTTGTCTCCTCTGATCACTTAGCAGTATTAAGCAAGACCAGCCTAAAAGCTGCACGACTGGAAACTTTATCCCATACAACCTGAAAATCCTAGCTAAAAATACTACTATATGGGAAATACTAGCAAGGCATGTGTGATGCATTATCTGAATCACTCTAGGACGACATTCTCACTGGCACTGTTGACAGACAATTATTGGCCCTTACCAAATTACTAGTCAGCCTACAAGCAATGTATGTACAAAATCCACGGATCAGCCCAGGTTTGGCTACAATTGTAGAATGGCAGCTAACAATAAGATGAGAGCCTGGAACCGTTACAATCGCCATCCCACACAAAGAAATAAAGATGTTCATGCTATGGCTTGCAGGGGAATGAAAGCTGTCCAAAATGGGCAATTAATCAATGGAACGAGGACCTCTGATTAAAACTGCATTAAACAGCAACAAGGATTTTCACCTGATGACTGCATCCCCCCTCTCAACAAGGGACGGGGGATCAGCTGCAACCTCCAGCAGAGAGAAGGCTGAACCTGACCGACCTTCTCCAAGTCTGGCTCTCGTGACTTATTCGAAGCTTAGCTCTTTCGAGATCATTTAAGTCAGGCAGCATCTAAATAAGGTTGATGTCCATAAGGCCATAGCACCAACCATGCCACGCGACCCACAAAAGGAGTGTGAAACTAGGATCTAACTAGCTCCAGAGACATTATCTAGCTACTCATACATGAGTAATGATAGGGAGGTTTTATACACACTCTCCATGGGCACTCGGTGGAAATTGATTTAGAAATTCGAAACCGTCAGATATACTGAGGTATATATATGAAAGATGGAATCATGTAGTACCGCATTGATAAAGATATATAACAATCCTCCCTGACCAGGCCTCGAACCTAGTCACTCCAGGTACTAAACAACCATGCCACGCGAAACTAGGATCTAACTAGCTCCAGAGACATTAACTATCTACTCATACATGAGTAATGACAGCGTGGTCTCATACCCGGAGTGACCTAGGTTCGAGGCCTGGTCAGGGAGGATTATTATATATTACAAAACATCTTTTGGAATAAAGTTTATAAAGAGAGAGAGAGAGAGAGAGAGAGAGGAAAACCTTATCTGAATGAGTATGTGTACACATATACATGCATATATGTGTGTGTGGTGTGTGTGTGTGTGTGTGTGTGTGTGTGGTGTGTGTGTGTGTGTGTGTGTGTGTGTGTGTGGGCGCGCGTGTGCGTGCGTACGTGCATGTGTTTGTGTCTACAGATATACATATGCGTTCATTCAAATACAGACTCACACAGATGCAAGTACTCATAGGCCTATATGACTCTCGACAGAAGGCTAGAAGAATTTAAGCGACTCCTTTCTTTCCAGGAGGAACACAGAACAGAACTGCAGAACGTCACAGAAAAGGAACAAGAAAAAGAAGCGACGATGAAGAATGAAATAATCCGTTTAAAGGAAACGATTGTAAGTAAAGACGAGAAGATCAAGTACAAGGTGAGGTAGAAATAGAAAGATAAAGATTTGAGAGAGGGGGAGAGGGAAGAAAGAAGGAGAGGGGGAAAGGGAAGAAAGAAGGAGAGGGGGAGAGGGAAGAAAGGAGAGGGGGAGAGAGAAGAAAGAAGGAGAGGGGGAGAGAGAAGAAAGAAGGAGAGGGGGAGAGGGAAGAAAGAAGGAGAGGGGGAGAGAGAGAAGCAGGAA